CGGCGGAGCTGGTGGCGGCACCTTTGGCGCCTGCTGCTGGCGGAGCAGGCGGCTCGGCGGCGACGCTCGACAACGTCCGGGCGCTCGCGGTGAGCTTGGTCGAGCAGTCGGTCGGAGCGACGCCGTGGCACTCAGCGGAGGTGCGGCGCATGCTGGCGGCGCATGCGGCCCGTAGGTCACCGCCAGGTCGGCGTGAGGCTTCGGCCAAGTCGGCGTGAGGCGAGCGCTCCTAGGGGAGCTGGCGGCGCGGCGCCGCGGGGCGCTGCGCCCGTTCGCCGCCTTCGCCGTCGCCGCCTTCGCCTAAGACATCGTCGTGGTGCTGGAGGGCGGCCCATCGGGTACGGGACTCGGTGGTTTGGTGGCCTCGGAGCTGCTGCGCGTACAGCTTAGCTGTGCACGTTCAACCACGGAAAACACACACACGTCCCTCCGACGCGCCAGTTGGTGACAGCCAGCGGTGAGAAGTCGAGCAGTGGGCCCGGCCCCTCCACGCATGCTTGCCCTCCGACGCGCCAGTGGGTCCAACCAGCGGAGCACAACGGGTGGGAACACCCTCAAAGCGAACGACACTCCTTGTGAAGCGACGCGGCAGGTCTGAACGCGTCCCAGGCGGCCGCGACGCCAGCCTTTGCCGCCACCGCCGCCGCCCCCAGAGCGCCGACGGCAGCAGCAGCAGCGGCAACAGCTGGGGCCACCGCAGCGCCGCCGACGGCCGCTGGCGAGGACCCCCCAGCGGAGGCAGCAGCGGCACCACGGGTGCGGGCAAGATTGATATCCATATCCACTGCGTCTCGGACTGTCTGGGAAGGCGCGCACCACTGCCGAGGCGCAGTGGACATAGATAAAAATCGAGGCTCTGGGGGCCAGATCTTCATCCATCTCCACTGCGCCTCGGGTGTCTGGGGAAGGGAGCTCGACACTCCAAGTCTAGAGGCCTCCTACATGGGGTCCGAGAAGATGGGGTCGAAGGATTGTGCCGCATCGCCAATGCATCGGCGATGCATCGCCGATGCATTGGCGATGCACCGGCGACGTCGGCCATGCACGGGTGACGTCGGCGTGGAGGAATGGGACTCCACACCGAGCAGCATCGCCGATGCATTGGCGATGCGGCGCGATCCTCCGACCCATCTGCTCGGACCCCATCCAGGAGGCCTAGAAAGACGCAGTGGATCTAGGGGGCCACATGCGAACCCTACCCCCTATGCTCTCTGAGGGGGATGGTGGGGTTCACTTCGTTCGGGAGCTCCCCAGCGAAGTGAACCCCACCCTCCCCCTCAGAAATCGTGGGGGGTAGGGGTAGGGTTCGCATGTGGCCCCGTAGGATCTGCATGTGCATCTCGCCCGCAGGGGGGCACACCACGGGCAGCAGCACCCGCCGCCAGAGGCGCGGCAGCGGCAGCCGCGGCAGCCGCGGTGGCCGGCGCGGCGTGTCCCCCTACAGGGCGATTTTCGACGATTTGTTCCCTACCTAGGCTCTGCCTAGAAGGGTTCTTACTCTCTTAGCTTAAAGGGGCCGGGCAATGGAAATCGCCCCGGGCGGTTCCCCCAGTCCCCGCCCCGCGGTTCCCCCCAGTCCCCTGGGAGCTTTAGCTTTAGCTTTAGCTTTAGCTTTAGCTTAGCTTTAGCTTAGCTTTAGCTTAGCTGTAGCTTAGCTTTAGCTTAGCGCTTCGCTTAGCTTTTCGCTTAGCGTTTAGCTTAGTTTTAGCTTAGCTTTAGCTTAGCTTGAGCTTAGCTGTAGCTTAGCTTTAGCTTAGCTTTAGCTTAGCTTTAGCTTATAGTTAGCTTAGCTTTAGCTTAGCTTTAGCTTAGCTGTTGCTCAGTGTTAGCTTAGCTTTAGCTTAGAGTTAGTTTAGCTGTAGCTTAGCTTTAGCTTAGCTTTAGCTTAGCTGTGGCTTCGCTTTAGCTTAGCTTTAGCTTAGCTTCAGCTTAGGGGGTTCCAACTCCTAGGGGTTCCAACTCCTAGGTAGGGTCGCACTGGGATAAATTTGTTTTGGTTTTTTGGTCGAAAAATACTCCAAAATCGTCTCCATGACTATTTTACTATTTCCCTACCTAGGCTCTGCCTAGAAGGGTTCTTACTCTCTAGCTTAAAGGGCCCGGGCAGTGGAAAGCGCCCCGGGCGGTTCCCCCAGTCCCCTGGAAGCTTTAGCTTTAGCTTTAGCTTTAGCTTTAGCTTTAGCTTAGCTTTTAGCTTAGCTTTAGCTTAGCTTTAGCTTAGCTTTAGCTTAGCTTTAGCTTAGCTTTAGCTTAGCTTTAGCTTAGCTTTAGCTTAGCTTTAGCTTAGCTTTAGCTTAGCTTTAGCTTAGCTTTAGCTTAGCTTTAGCTTAGCTAGCTTAGCTTTAGCTTAGCTTTAGCTTAGCTTTTAGCTTTAGCTTAGCTTTCTTAGCTTTAGCTTAGCTTTAGCTTAGCTTTAGCTTAGCTTTAGCTTAGCGTTACTGTTACTACTAATGCTGCTTTCCTAGGGGTTCCAACTCCTAGGTAGGGTCGCACTGGGATAAATTTGTTTTGGTTTTTTGGTCGAAAAATACTCAAAAATCGTCTCCATGACTATTTTACTATTTCCCTACCTAGGCTCTGCCTAGAAGGGTTCTTACTCTCTAGCTTAAAGGGGCCCGGGCAGTGGAAAGCGCCCCGGGCGGTTCCCCCAGTCCCCTGGAAGCTTAGCTTTAGCTTTAGCTTAGCTTTAGCTTTAGCTTTAGCTTTAGCTTAGCTTTAGCTTAGCTTTAGCTTAGCTTTAGCTTAGCTTTAGCTTAGCTTTAGCTTAGCTTTAGCTTAGCTTTAGCTTAGCTTTAGCTTAGCTTTAGCTTAACTTTAGCTTAGCTTTAGCTTAGCTTTAGCTTAGCTTTAACTGTAGCTTAGCTTTAGCTTAGCTTCAGCTTAGCTTTAGCTTAGCTTTAGCTTAGCTTTAGCTTAGCTTTAGCTTTAGCTTTAGCTTAGCTTTAGCTTAGCTGTAGCTTATACTTAGCTTTGCGTTAGCTTAGCGTTAGCTCAGCTTTAGCTTAGCTTTAGCTTAGCTTTAGTTTAGCTTTAGCTTAGCTTTAGCTTAGCTTTAGCTTAGCTTTAGCTTAGCTCTAGCTTAGCTTTAGCTTAGCTTTAGCTTAGCGTTACTGTTACTACTAATGCTGCTTTCCTAGGGGCTGCAACTCCTAGGTAGGGTCGCACTGGGATAATTTCAAATATACCCCCCCCCCTTTCGTCCGGCCCGAGGCACGGGGGCGGGCGCCGGGAGGCAGGAGCCGGAGAGGCGGCCCCTCTCCCGGCGCCCGCCGAGCGGAGCTGCCCTCCACCGGGCCCTGGGCGGCGCCGAGGGCGGAGGTGCGCCCCGGCCCTGCGCCAGGCTGCCTGAGCCAGAGCAGCTGGAGCCGGAGCGCGGCTACGGAACTCCATACGAACACACACACACACGAACACTCACACACACACACAAACACAAACACACACACACACATGCACACGCACACACACGAACACACACACACACACACACGCACACACGCACACACACACACACACACACGCTTTCACTCTTGTGGCGTCGCGGCCACGGGCCCGGCGGCGCAGCGTGACGCGGGGTGAAGCGAGCGCGCGCGCCACCAGTCCGGCGCACGCGGCGAGGGGAAGCTGGGTCCACTCATAAGGGGGTCGACAGCAACACTCACAGGGGGCCAGCCGTGAGGGGACGGGGACACACACACACACACACACACACAGACTCAATTCCGCCTTGCTGCGATCCCTGCCTCCAGCCCTCCACCATTACTCAATATGGATACCACTCCCCTCTCCACGCCCCCGAAGACCCCTATGAGGGAGCGCGCCCCCCTCCGCGTATCATTTTTACACATAGGATGCATGCGAATTGGATTTGCGCATGTGCTTGTTCCCATCCGAACGTTATCGGCTCATTCAATATGTTGCGCCTGCTGCAGCGCTGGCCTCATGTTGGGACTTCCGCTCGATCCGAATCGTGCTCCCGCTTAAGCGCTGGTCCCATTTCAAGTGCCATGCCATGCAAAGCAATGCAATGCAATGGTATGTTGTGTTCCGCTGTGCGATGCGATGCCTTCTGCTGCAATGCTATGATATGCAGCGCTTGACCTCGCAGTGCCAAGCCATGCTCTGTCATGCTATGATTTGATCTTCAACGCCATGCTATGCCATGCAATGCTATGCCATGCAACGATATCAGACTGTGCGAATGCAGGGGAGATCTACACCATGTTAAGCCATGGGAGGGAGGGGTACGACGTCAGATACGACGCTTGCGCACCATGCGTGCCCTCCCCCCCCTCTACGCTCCTCCCCTTCCCCGCCCCAACTCCTCCCACCCTACCTACTCCTTGTCATCCTCCTCCCCCATCCACACTCCCCATACCTCCAAGATCGCGGCTTCTTCACAACGCGGAGCCCCCCGAAGTCTGGCCCACTTCCCCGGGACATGTTGCTTGCTCTCTGACAGCTCTGGGGCCCGGTAAGGACCCTCAGACGCCGAAAACTGAGAGCAGCACTTTTTTGATTCGCGGGTCGAGAGCGCACCTCTTCCAGTCGAAGCTAAGCGGGCCGCGCGAAGCTTGAATTACGCAGAGAAGGGGGGTGAGAAGGGGGGCGCAAAACTGAGAGCAACACCCTTCCGCTGAGACTTCTGCTCCCAACGAGGGGAGGTACGGCTCCGCAGCCTCCTGCCCTTTCCCCTGCTCCCTCCGGCTCGCGCTCTGACCGACCCCCCCCTGTGGACACGACAGGTGGCGACAGCGGAACCCTACCCCCACCAACCACCGATTCTCCCGATTCCTGAGTCGGTGGGAGGCGGGGGCGGGGTTCGGACTTCGCCACGCGTGCGGCGACGAACTCCGAGCCCTACCCCTGAGATTCGATGCGGCGACGAACTCCGCGCCCCAGACCCCATCGTTCTGCGTCCCCGTTCGACGAGCTGGATCGATCTGCGAGGGCCCCTGGGCCCGAAGAGAGGCGAAAAGACGCCCGGCGATGTAGAACAGATCGAGTCGCCGGGACCTCAGGGGCCCCCCGCCGCCCATCGAGTTTTGCCCCCGAATCGTTGCACGGCGAAGGCACGCTTCGGACCTCGCCGCCGCCGCCGCGAGCGGCGGCGACCGCCACCGTGAACGACGACCACGACGACGACGACGACGACGACGACGACGACGACGACGACGACGACGACGACGACGACGACGACGACGACGACGACGACGACGACGACGACGGCGGCGGCGGCGGCGGCGGCGGCGGCGGCGGCGGCGGCGGCGGCGGCGGCGGCGGCGGCGGCGGCGGACGCGAGGAAGGAAACCGCCGCGGGGCGCCCGCCCGCCCGCCTGCCTCCGTTGGTTACCGCGCCGGCACGGCCGGCGCCGCGTCCTCGGCCGCCGCCTCGAAGGACCACCCGGCCCTCGCCTGCGCGACGTCGGCCTGTGGCAGGATCGAAGACGAAGCCAGGACGAGGAGACACTCGGGTGAGAACAAATTGGAACCCCTGAGAGCCCGCGGCGCTGGAGCACGTCTCGGGCGCCGCGGACGCTGCCGCCTTTTGAGGGTCCTACCGGCTCTCGCCTGCGCGACGTCGCCCTGTGGCAGGATCAGCCCGCATCGAATCGGGAGACCCTGAGATCCTGGCGACTGCATTTTTTCGAGCCGGGCGTTTTCGCTTTTTTTTCGAACCCCGGGACCCTCACAGATCGATCGGGCTCGAAAAATGGCACAGAAAGATGGGGTATGGGGCTCCAGGCGTGATTTTTACAATGTAGCAAAAGTTTTCGCTACGTCGGATATCAGGGAATCGGGTCGGATCGGGCTGCATCGGCACGTCGCCGTAATCGAGTCGGATCGGCCGCGCCAGGATGCACACCGGCGCCATGCAGGTATCGGATCGCATCGGATCGACGGCATGTTAGAACCGAGTCAGATCGAATCGGCTGGAGTCCATATCGACTCGGATCGATCGGATCGATGTGGTTCCTGCCTTTGGAGGAGTTGCCGACGGAACGAAAGCCATCACGCCAGCATTGATGCGGTAGCGCTTTCCCGACGGCTCTGGCCCGTCCGGGAAGACATAGCCCACCTTCGTCATCGAGGCTCTGTCCAGGACCTCGACCCGCCATTGCTCCTTGGGCTTCGTCCTCTTGTCCCGCGGGCAGATGCGCTCCACGACGCTGCTGGCGTCGATTGGGGCCCAGAAACTGGCCCAGCCAGTTCCGCTGTCGTACTTCGCGGCAGAGCTGAACAGAGGCTTCGCGCTGACGACGGAAGCGTAGACGCCCGGCTCCGTGGTGTCCCAGGAGTAGCCGTTCAGGGTCCGGCCCGACCTGCGGAGGCCTCCTTGATAGGGGCAGGGCCCGAAGGGGCCCCAAGACCGCCGCGGCGACAAGACGTCGACGGCATCGAGAGGGAGAGAATCGCGTTCTGGCTCGCCCTCGCCGCCAACGCCTCGGAGACGCAGCGGCATCTGGGGCCCCGCTGGCCCCCTGGCCCCATCTGGAAGGCCCGGAACCCGGAGGGCTCGAGCTTCCCCTGGATGGCCAGCGAGGTCTGAAACTTGTTCAGCCTGGCCATGCCCTTCTGGAAGTCGTCCCTGGTCATCAGCCTGTCGTCGACGTCCGACGGCTCAACGAACTCGCTGAGAATCGCTATGGAACTCGCGCTCCTCTTGGCACGGCCGAGAAGGGTACGTGCCAGAAGTGGGCAGGCTGCCCCAGCAGCAGATGCTGACCCTAAAACCTGCAGCGAGCCGCTTCCGGGCAGGCGACCGGCTGCCTCAGACAAACAGCGCCCCCAGAGACGCCGACAGAGAGCCCCGCGAGAGCCTGGGCAGGAACGGTTTGTGGGCCTTCGCCCCCCGCTCTTGCCGTACCCACACTGAGATCTGACGCCGCGGAAAAAAAAGCAGCATCATGAAAAATCACCCTCGGAGCCCTGTTCCCTCGTTCGGCAGCACCTCCCGAGCCGGACCCGTCTGCGAGGGCCCCAGGGCCCGAATCAGGGCAAACAAAAATCCCAACGCGAAAAAACTCCGACGCCAGGATGTAAGGGCACTGGCACGAAGAAACCGCGTCCCGAGGGAAACGGGTCCTGAGTCCTAGGGCGTTCATCCCCTGGGAGCCACCTCTTCATCCTGAGTCGTTTTTCTGTTGTCCTGGGACCCATCGAAGGCCCCAGAGGGCCGCCAACAACTGAATAATTCAAGGACACTTTTCCCGCAGGAGCCCTTTCCTTCACAAAGGGGACAGGAAGGTGTCGATACTGCTGCTCTCTGGACCTCTTCAGACATGAATTCTGACCAAACTTCCAAAGCGAATCCAGCCGTGACGACGAGGGAAGTATAGCGCTGTGTGTTCCTCTTCTGCTCATGGCCGACGTCTCGACTTCTCAATACGGGGCCCCCGGAAATCCCGACCCGTTCCCCAGGGTCGGTCATTCGTGCCAAGTTGGTTTGGGGTGGTCCAGGGGCCCGGCGAAGATCCCCAGAGGCCGAGAACGGCCGAAAAGCCGACGCGAGCACGCCTGAGTATCGTTTAACGGATCCCCATCCCCAGCGACGTGGCCTGTGCCCCACTGGCCGATTTGCCCCCCTGGATGGGGATATAGGCCGTTCCCTTCGGGTTTCGAGGGGTGTGTCCCCAACTGGGAGGGTAATTTGGTGGGGGCCTCGAAGGTGATGGGGATGGGGATGGGGATCGGCTAAACGATACCGAATGCCTGGGCTTTTTGAAGGGGCCCTGGGACACACAAGTAAATACACACAAACAACCAGATTCCCCCATATTTATCCATATCTTCTGGGTGCTTGTCTTCCTCCCCGCCTCCCATATTTTCCCCTGGCTTTCCTGGGAATCGACGATGAATCGTGTCTGTGTGTTTCCTCCCCTCCTGACTTTTCACCGCGCCGATCCCCGCCGGCGCACCCTCCGCCCGCGCGGCGCCGCCGCGCCAGGCGGCCGCCGCGGCCGCCGCGGCGGCCAGCGCCGGCCGGCGGCCAGCGCCGGCGGTCGCCACCAGCGCGGGGCAGCGCAGCGCGGCGGTCACCGCCAGGGGCCCCAGCGCGGCGCAGCGCAGCGCGGCGCGGAGCGCCGCGGGCGCGCCCCTCCTGCCGGTGGAGGCTCAGAGAGGGGCACCAACGCCAACACCGAGGGTTGCCTCCACCAGGGGAAGAGGACCCTGGAGTTCGGTGCTGGTGGCAGGAGTTCGGTCACCCTGGAAGCCGGCATGTTGCCAGCATATCACCGAGGTCGGGATCTTTCGGGGATGGACAGACCCCCCTTTAGTAAAACGTGGTTTAGTGAAAACGACCTGAGGCCCAAACCTGGCGGGCGCAAGCCTGGAAAATAACGGCCAGGGCGCCCTCTCGAGAACCGAAAACGGACAATTCACTAATCGACGTGTCACTGTTGGGGGTTCTGTCCACCGCCGAAACTTCTTCCCCGGGTGGAGGCACATCGCCGGCTCTCGGCCTCCGAGGCTGGGACGCACCAGGCCCACGACCTGCCCGCGTCGCGACAGGATCACGGCGGGGGAAGCTCCGACGGGGGGTGCGGGCTCCCGGGAGGCCCTCGGCGGGCCCCCGCGGGCCGTCAAGGAACCATCCGGGACGAGAAGCTGGCCTTGGGTCGGGGATCCCTGGTCAATCTGACTACCTACCAAACCACCCCAACCCAACCCGAAGTCCCGAATGTAAACCGAATTTCGGGTGGGGGGGGTACGGGTTCCACGTGTTTTTTCGATGTTCCCCGACCCCCCCCCCACCGGAAATGGAGGGCAAATCGTGGCCTTCGGGTTGGGTTGGGGTTGTTTGGTGGGCGGTGATCATCCAGACCCTGGTCAGCCAGGCCTTGCAGGATATTGCCAGATCATGCCCCGAACCCCTGTCAGTGCGACCCTGGCCCTGCAAAATCCTGCAAGATCGGGCGCTCGGACTGGCCCCGTTTGCATTGACCCCCGTCTCTTGAGCCCCAATTGGGGGATGGGCCGGGATTTCTGGGGACCACGTGTTCAAGACGTCGGATGTCTGGAAGTGGTGCAGTGCCACGGAGCCCCCAGCGACCTCACGGCACGGCCCAGTCCACAGCACGGCCTCTTAATACGGCCCGGAAGGTCCGAGGCGCCCAAGGCGTCCTCAGAACACGGCCCGAGTCCCAAAACCGTGCGGCCACCCCGAATCCCCACAGACGTCTTGGGGCCCTGGAGGCCCCCGTCGCCCGAGGCATATTCGAAGAACGGCCCGAGTCGCAAAACCGCGCATCCACTCCTTAACCCCCCAGACTCACCACACGGTGTGGTCACGACTTGCTTCGTTGAGGCGTGGCAGAATGCCAAGGCCGCCAGCGCGCTTCGAAAACGGCACCCCAGAAAGAGGGGAGCCAATCGCGCCACTGGTACCCAACCACCTGCAACAGGCAAGCCCAGAGACTTTTCGCCGGCGGCGTCTCGGAACCGAGTTGCTGGTGGGCGATGCTAGGGCACAGGCGACACTTACTGCGGCACGGCCAGGAGGAAAAGGGATGACCAGCGGACAGGCGATGCTGCGCGCGGCAGGAGGGGCCCTCAGAGCGTGAAAATATTCGGGACGTGCCGAAGCAGGCGCGTCGAACTAGGGGCGCAGGCGGAAGGAGACGAGCCCAGAGACACGTGAGGGCCAGCTTGTGGGGCGAGCATCAGGCCGGGCATGTCCCCCTACAGGCGGATATTGGACGAAAGATACAAAGTACCCCAAAAATGCTCCAAAATGCCAAAAAATACCGAGGAACAAAAAAAGGCGCCCCCCGACTATGTTCTGCCTGGTTTTGAATAACCCCCCTGTAGAGGGACAGGCCCGACTTGAGGCGAGCACGTGTGGCCACCGAGCGAGCACGTGTGGCCGCCACACCGTCGGTTGGCCCGTGATCCTGGGCCGCCGCCTCGGCCCTGGCCGCCGGCGGTCCGCCGCCTTGGCGCGGCCTTCCCACCGGGGCGCGGGGGGGCCGCCATCGGCCTCCATCCCGGCAGCCGCCATCGACGATCGGCGCGGAGCTGCGAAAACGAGGAGGAGGAGGAGGAGGAGGAGGAGGGCGAGGGCGCGGAGGAGGAGGGGGACTGGGCTAGGCTCCCCCAGAGATGTGGCCCCAGGAGGGGGAGAAGCAGGAGGGGAAGCAGCGTCGGATAGACACCCATGCCGTCGGCCGTGTGCTCTGAGCTCTGATTTCTGAGGAGGGGGAGGAGGAAGAGGAGGAGGACGGTCGAAGGTCAAAGGGTCGAGGGTGCATCGACACAATCCGCGAGCAGGAGGAGGACGGTCGAAGGTCAAAGGGTCGAGGGTGCATCGACACAATCCGCCCCGCCGCCTTGGCGACAAAGGGAAACTACTCTGCCCGAGGGTCGCACCGACCAGGTGCACCCCAGCGAAGGCCCTCCCATGAGAGGAAGGGCACGGAGAAGGCCCCACCACCCCCGCGGGACGAAGACCAACGGACAACCGTACGAAGCCACTTG